TCTCTATTCTTGTCTTTTCTCGTCAGTTTTAGCACTCTTGTCACTCCCACACTTCCGATTGATTCCCTGAACAATCTCATTCAATTTTCTTTTCCTCTTATCCCAATAAAATTATTTTATTACTCAGGAGATTAATCTCCGGTGTGAATAAGTTTTCGACAACATTTTCATGTTTTGCTTTAAAAATTGTCGAACAATCAATTCTTAGCTTGTTTTCCTTTTCCAACGAATATTGATGACAGGAAGTTGATACATTCAATGTGATGTTAGACAAGCGATGATAAAAAAAACAATTTCATCGCCAAGGAGTGGGCTATGATATGACACATTTAAGTGTAAAAAAGATTTACAATTAACCTCTGAATCAGCAATAATCTTTTAATGCATCACAAGAATAAGGAAAATGTATCTACCTACAAAAAGGTGATCGAAGTTGTAACTTTGAACACAGGGATTTTCTCGAAAACTACTCGTCATGAAATTTTAATTCCATCAATGGACTTTTTTTCACGCCACTAAAACCTGAAAAGGTCCCTACTCGAAAGAAATTTTTTCACTCCTCAAGATTCGATTATTATTGGATTCACTTTAGTTGTTTGCTTAAAATGAATCGATTAAACCAGTCACTCGACCCAATGGGTCAATGGTTAGAGCGAAGATTCCGTGAAAACTGACTTTTCTCATTTCTATTCCTTACTGAAGCTTTAAATTTTTCAGTAAGTTCACTAGTTGGTGAGTTTATCAAAAGTCAATATTTAGTCAAGTCAGTCATTGATGTATGAATCAACTAAGATTGGGATTCTAAGGCACTTATGATGAAGCTCGTCAAATCCTGGTTACTAAACTGGTATAAATTGGGTAAACAATATGATTGATCATTAGTATCACTGAGCCTCTAAATTGACTTTAAATTTACTCGAGGAAAATTGAATTCGAATTTTACATTTCTTTATTTTTTCGTTTTCCTCTCTTCCTTAATGCACAGATTGAATTGATGCATTAATAGCAATCTCTGACCATTTAACCGCAAGTGTTTGCCTCATCAAACAATTGTGTAATTCATTGTAACCATCTTATCACCGGGAATCAGCATTGTTAATACAATAAAGAAGCACCATGTAATCAGCTACTATTGAAACCAGAATGAAGCAGTCAACTTTTCCATTGCGATCATCAGATTCAAATTACATGTTGACTTGATGTTTCATTTTGATATTTCATCTTTTTTTCCAATGACAGATTTTATTTGTGAAGGAACTGGAAATGAACTCAAAGATATTCACATTAATGAATCAACCCATTGTTTCCCATATTTACATAATGAAATGCATCAGGTGAAAATGACGATAAAATTCAGTAACAAGTACTGAAGATAACGATTGAAAGCAAAATTTATCTGCGAAATTTACGTTTACGGTAAAAAAACAGATTTGATTTTATTCCCTTTTCCATCGCATTGCAATTGAAGACTAAAAGACTGTTCATTTGTGCCATTTATCTAATTGAATGTAAAAAAGAAATTCTTTTATCATTAAATGAATTTTCTCCTTGACTCTCACTAAACCTTGTTTTACTTCTGTGTACTTATTTTGATGAGTTGAAGTTTACTGCACTTGCTGTGGAAACGTTACAAAGATGACACTTTTACTCATAGTTATTAGCTTTATCGGTGTTCTTCATGGATCTGTCCATGCAACTCAAAACAGTTCCGATGTTGGTCTAACGATTGGCGATCTGATAACCTCAAGAGGCTTCATCCATGAACCGCACTATGTGACGACTCGGGACGGTTACATTTTGGGAATTCATCGAATGATCAATCCGTTGAGCAGAAAATACATAGCAGGAAAACCAAAACCAATTATCCTTCAATGTGGCCTTCTTTGTTCTGGATCCGAGTTTCTCGATAACTCCGACAGCGGTTACCTCAACGAAACAATGATTGCTTATCGCCATGTCCTCAACATGATCGATTTCGAATCAGAAGGAAACAACTTGGGCTTTCTTTTGGCGAATCTTGGTTTCGATGTTTGGTTTTTCCATCCAAGAGGAAACATGTACTCGCGAAATCACACCACACTGGACCCTGATTCAGGTAAGAACAAAATTTGAAGAGAACAAAAGGAAATCTAAAAAATTCGACTTGCAACAGATAAAAGCTATTGGCAATTTACTTGGGATCAAATGGCCTTAATCGATCTTCCAGCAACTTTTGAACTCATCATGAACCAAACCGAACAAAGTATAAACCTTTTCTTTTCTACTTTTATTCTCACCTAAAAATGGATTGCATGATGAAATTTATTGATATCTTTCTTTTAGCTGTTGGTTACATTGGCTACTCTCAAGGTGGAACAACAATTTTTGGACTTTTATCAGAGTGGCCCGAATATTCTGCAAATGTGGTTCCAATCATCAACATTGCTCCAGCAGTTCGACTCGACAATTATGCTGGTCTTCCCTATCAATCCATCCTCGAGTCTCCCCTGGTAATGAACTATGTGATGAACAGAGGAGGGGAATGTTTTGGTCGGCAGCAATTTTCATTTTGTGAGGAAAGTCCAATTATGAAGATTGTGTGCAATTTCGTCACCTTTAACTTGTTGAGCATCAATAAAAATCAAGTCGATCCTGATCGAATTCCCGTCTTTATGTCACACATTCCTTCTGGCACTTCTTGCTGGGACATTTTACACCTTGTCCAGTTGATAAAGAATAAAAATTTTGCCAAGTTCGACTTTGGAAAGACAAAGAATTTAATCAAATACAATTCAACTTCACCGCCACTCTACGATCTGGGAAAAGTGGTTACAAACGATCTATACTTAGTGCATTCTATTGGTGACCATTCAGCTGATCCAGCAGATATTACGCTTCTTAAATCACTTCTTACTTCAGGTAAAAGAAAAGCTACTTTTATTTAATCAACAATTGAAGGTGTGATTCGCCTTCTTTTCTGCTGATTAACTGCAACCCGATCTAAAGTTTTATGTTCAACTTGACTTTGATATTGATATTGAATAGCAATTGAATCGTAAAGTGAAGGCTTTGTGAGTGAATGTCTATTGTTCAGGGTCGATAAGAACAACAATTTCTGTTATCGCTATTATTTATCATTCATCATCATTCTGGTGAATTACCAGTGTTTAACCATTCAATTTCAACCCAATGTTCATTAATAATTACTTTTATCATTGACTAATTCATGCATTTTTTTGCCTTTTCATTTATTCGTAGTTCCCACCATTTATGATCATGTAATTCAAGAGAAAACTTTTGACCATTTGGACTATTTCATGTCTAAAAATATTGGAACTCTGGTTAATGGTCCGATCGCTCGAATGTTGGACAAGTACAATCCTTGATTCATTTGGTTCTTTTTCAATGAAAACACAGAGTCTCTCAACTTTTGATCAAAAACTTTCTCATTGCATGGCTTCCACCTGATTTAAGAGTAAACTTTTTTTTTCTTTGCATCACTATTTTTTTACCGATTGGAGCCTAATTTATCATTTCAATAAATGTAAAAAGTGAGAAAACAAACATCAATCTGGTTTTTACAATTTCAGAGTTTCGTGCAAATCGAGTTTCCAAAAAGTACTTTTAGGGATTGAATTTAGTTTTCAAAATTCAAAATTTCTATTCGCAGGATTTCAATCAATCTTATTCCACTAAACTGTGTTTAGTTATAGGAATAGATGCAGACTTGGTCACAGCCATAGGTTAAAACGGATCGTGATACAATTGGAAGATTCGGTTTGCTTGGAAACCATTGGATTATCATAGTTGTATCGTTTCTCTGAAGTATTCCAATCAGTCATTATCTTATGTTGCTGAAACTGCTTCATCAGGATCACTTTGATTAATGTACATTTTCACTTAAATAATAATCATGTTCTTCATACCATTGATTCTGGATCATTTTGATACCAAGCTCGAATGATGGCACCATGATGAACTGCATTAACTAGCTGAACAAAATAAAAGTGGATTCAAGGTGAAATGAGTATGGTTCATATCAATATAAAGATGGTTCGACAGAAGTGATTACACGAGATGAATAATTAAATAGAATGCATCAGCATTTAAAGGCTTTTAAACCTGACAGGTCGATAAGCTTATAATCAGCCGATACGTTTGAAATTGTCAAGTTGTTTGTTTACAAGTTACAGCTCAATAGTTCTGATAAAAAGCTTTTATGCATTGAAGATTAAACCTCTTCACTCTTTACCGATAGACACTCAACAAATAATGGCTTAATCCAGCAAATCATTAATGATTCCTGATTAACGGTGACAAATGAGAAGCGG